CCTGGATCCGCTTGTAGAAATAGCTGTGTATTCATACCTCTATATTCCACTTATGCGTGATTGGCAACATTCCCAATTGCACTGGTATTTTTTCGCACTCGAATTTTTTTGGTTTTAATGGCACTGCAGTCTTTGAAGAAATTCGCTATGGATAAAAGAAAAAACATTAATTATTGCTGGTTTTTCTAGGTTGGAATAATGTTTGCTCAGTTTCGGAATATCGTGGACAGTTTTTTGGAAAGCCAGCTCGTTTCAAGGTTAACATTTCGATCGTAGAATTTCTTTCTTTGATAATTTTGGCGACTGAGTATTCAATTCCTGTTCACGTGATTATTTTTTAATTTATTTTTGTTTTCGTATTTTTTTTCTTTTTTAATATCTTTATCTTTTTCTTGACTTTCCTGGCATTTCCATTGAATTTCAAGCTTTTCAATATTCACTCCATGTTTATATGATTATTTTATAGTGTATTTTTATATTTTTATATACATTATCTTTAATATCTTCATTCTTTTTCTTGACTTCCCTGGCATCTCCACTAAATATGAGGCTTTCTTTCAAACCCCTGGTTGAGGAGGAAGTTGGATTTAGCGGAACGACCATAGAGTTTTGCCGGCACACAAAAAATGCATTTTGTACATGAAAAAAATGTCCAAAAATTTGAATAAAATGACTTTAGTTTTGGGATTTTTGAATAAATCCAAGCAGCTAGTTGCTGATATGTGCCAAAGAGTCAAATCCGCAATCAGCTTGTGTCTGAACATCTTTCAAAAGAGAAAACCGTTTTGCCAACGAGTGGTTGATATTGGCATAATATCACTCGGAATAGATTATAATTTCGATGATTCTGTTTGTTTATACGGAAGGGGTTTTGACTTTGATATATGTTGAGACTTTACTTTAAGCGCTTGAACGAAATTACGTTGTTTTTTTTTTTTTAAATTTATTCTGTTTTTAGTATAATACTTACGAAATGGTTCAACTTCTACTTATTTTGCTAGAGAAGTCTTTCTAAAGAAAAAAATCTCGTGATTTTTCCCCTCGAAATCTCGATTTTTACTAAAGAAATCTCTCTAAATCAAAAAAAAAAAAAATCTCTCTATTTTTCTAAGCGGTACTCACAGATCTGCATTGTTGTATAAGGTATATTTTTGTAGGTAACAAGTACCTGTGGTCATGTAATGTGTGCGGATTTTCCTCCAAATATGAATAACTGGGAACGAGTTGATCCGTTACAGTTATTTACATCACCGATCGAGAAGAAGGAAGCAAACCCGAAGATGAAAATGAATGAGGTTCGTAAATTTTCCCTGGCTTCATTTTAGGCAAAATTCAGATTCGAAGTAAACGGCTTCAAATCTGAATTTTTGGTCATTTCCCCATCAACAATTTGACTTAATTACATTTAGCATACTTCATTTTATTTCCATTTTCGAAGGCTGCTTTTAGACAAGCTTAGGATTAAAAATTCGTTCTGTGATAGACGCAAATAGCGATTGAGATGATTGAAATTAACGGAGAAATTCTAGGGAGTTTTTAATTTCTTCACTGATAGAGTCGAATTCGGGCATTTTTTACCAATTACAAATATTTTGTAATATTCCCCTTCCTCCTTTTCTCACCTCGTTTTCCTTTTCCTCTTTTTTTACCTTATCTTTAAATTCACAAAACCAGCGCTTATTTGCCAGTGTCCCGCGCTTCCAGCAAAAAATATCCGGTATTTTGGCTCTGTGAAATTTTCTAGCGAAATTGAACCTGTTATAGATCCATGAAGATAAATTTCAATGTTTATTTCAGCTAAAAGGAGTGAAGTGTATAAAGCTCAGTAGTACAGGTCCAGAGCGGCCAATTTTATGGTTTTTTTAGTAAATATGGGACATGCCCAGTGAGGTTCTGATCTTGGCGTGGTCTAGTGGAGCACACAAGCTGACATATTGTTGATGTTCTTTATGATGCTTAGTTGCATTTAATTATAAAACGAGAAAAGAGGAGTACGGGGAATTATATGCAGTCAGCAGTTAGCGCATTAATAAAAGAAAATGACTTATCTGCCAAACATCGAATTTGCTGGGGGACCCGTTTTAGTTAATAAGTTGTTCTGAAACCCAGTGCCAGTAGATGGCATATGAATGGGGTGATGTTCAAGTGAGCCGCAATCCGAAGGCGAAAAGAACCCGAAGACAGTCGAGGTGGTGCCGTAGGTCAAGTTGATGAGATGAAGAAAAAAAAGATCCCAACTGAGGAAAAAAGGGCCTTAAGCAGTAGGAAAAGAGGGAGCACGGTACAAACTGTTGTCCCGCTGGGTCTACCGCCCTATCCAGATGTATTCCCAGACACCGGAAATGTTTGTTCGCTCCGAACAGTGGGTAACGGCATGGAAAAAAAAGGGCCAAAAGATAATCAATGGGGATCGGAAATG